AAAGCCGACATGGTGGGTAGGAGTGCAATGTAAATGATGGCAATGCTTGACGACGTCCCACGGCAGTGAACCAGGAAAGAAGTCCGAAACAAACAGTACCACTATAGCACAGGTCAGGCCGCAGTGATTACGTCCACTGGTCAAAAATGCACCTGCAATGTTGTCTCGCCACGCAAAGCAAGACAAATGAATCCCAAACCAAGCGACGGTTTGAAGCTGCAAAAACTGCGAGGTCGTTATGGTAGCACTGTCCACCAAAGACGGACACCACCTGGTATTCCTGGTTCTCCTGGTTCTCCCTCAGGTCCGGGTCCTCCAGGGACCCCGGTAGGTCCTGGAGGCCCAATGACGACGGGCCCAGTTTCTCCTTGCTCTCCTTTAGGTCCCGCGAAGCCCGGTAGGCCCCGAGGGCCCGGCCTACCAGTTGGGCCCTCCCCTGAAGAGGAGATAGGCGATTAGGATCGAGCATGCGGAGGACTATCGCAAATGAAGCGTCATCTCATTGGTCGCTGCAGGATACCTGGTTCGCCCTGCAGTCCGGGAAAGCCCACAAGTCCTGAAAGAGTCCCAGAAGAAGTGGAAGAAGCAGATTGGAGAGGCCAAGCTGGGCAAATCCAAAACAGACAGGAGCTTGAAGGTACCTGGCTCTCCGCGGGCTCCCGGAGGTCCTGGGGAGCCGGGAGTCCCGCTCTGGCCTTTCACAAATGCAGGCGTCCAGAACATCTGGTGAAGAAAAAGCTTCTGAACATGTGTAGCCACGCCCCCTGAGGGGCCAGACCGCCCCCCCACCGCACAAAAAGACAAGCCGCTCTTCGGGATGGTCCGGGAAGCCTCACCTCGCCCGGCGGACCGGGAGGACCAAAGTCGCCTTTCTCCCCCTCAACACAAAACAAAGAGATGACGAGCTTTCGACACAATCACATCAAAATAATGAGAAGACTTCCATCGTGGCTTTTTTGCAGGAGAAACTGACTGGAGCGGACCCCTTCTCTTGGCGGGGGTGTGCAAAGACCAAAACCAATGAGCAATTGACGCTTGCCATCGTTTCCATGACAACCCATTCCCAATGTGTTTTATTTGGCGCCCCCTCCCCAAAGTAGTTCAATTACTGTGAATGAGCAGGGCTTTGCGCAAATCACGGCGGATAGGTTAGGTACTTACCCGTACTCCATCGATGCCCGGGGGGCCCGCAAAGCCGCGAGGCCCCGCTTCTCCCTGCAGATGCAACCAAATGTGCCATTGAGTGATCTGGCCTGGCAAAGTCGGCAGCGACTGTTACGGTCCTCACCGGTTGTCCCAGTTCTCCAGGGACGCCGTCCTTTCCCGCTTTTCCCTGCAAATGAGAAACGAGTGGCGACAGACGCGATGGCTACGGCGAGACCCTGGAACGTGAGGGTAGCCAGAGCACTCGAGTCGGCCCGGAGCGCCGGCGGTTGCCTTACCGGTGAGCCCGGCTCCCCTCGCCGGCCCGGCTCGCCTTTTGTCCCCGCTCTTCCCGTCGGACCCTGACGAGGCAAAACCTCAAAAATCGAGAAACCGGAGCAACGGCTGAAGAATAGTCGAAAGACTTACCGGGCGTCCGGCGCAACCTTTGTCTCCAATGTCACCCGGCTCACCCTGAAACCAAGCCACCAAGACGCAACGGCGGTCAACGGGCGGACCCATGCAAGAGAGAACGAATGACTGCAACAACTGCACGCACCAACGGACGAACGGGCGCCCGCGAGAATTCTTGAATGGATGAACACGTGACAAGGGCTGAACAAAACAAGCGGCGTGTGGAGGGATGAACGAACGGCCGGTTGCATGCCTGACGGCACGGGTGAAGGAACAGGTGGATGGATGAATGCTTGGATGGATGAATTAAATGGCGGGCTGGCCGGGTGGTGAATGAATCCACAACGAATGGAGGACCGAACGAATGCGCGGATGGATCACGAATCGATTCATTCGCTCACAAGGGAAGGAAGGCGAGGTGTCTTCCAACGACAACAACCGAACGCAGGAATACATGAACCAACGGTGACACGGAGGATTTGACGGAGGAATGAACGGGGAAACTGATGATCATCCATTCAGCGGTCTCGCCATCCACTTGGCAAGTCATTTCTTCAGCCGGTTCTTTGAAATCGGACCGGAGCGGATAACGGACGAATGAACGGACGAACGCGGAGACGAGGACGCACCTTGAGTTCTTTGGGCCCCTCCGCGTACAATTTGATTCCTTTCTGTCCCGGGATCCCGACGGGTCCGCGATCTCCCTTCAAGCAGAACCTCCGTGAAAATCCGGACGGATGTCCGAAAGCCCGGCGCCGGATCCACCCACCTTCAGGCCTTGTGGACCCGGACTGAGCGGACTGGGACCCTCTTGACCCTGACGCGGCAAACACCACGCCCACGTACGTAAGTGTCACATTCAAAGTGGCGGCTCGCGCCGGCATACTCTTCGGATCGGGCCCACCTTCTCTCCCGGCAAGCCCGGCGACCCCGGACGTCCCTGCGCGGGAACAACGACGACAACAACAACAACAAGGCGTTAGCCGTCATCCGGTTGGACGCGGGCGCCTTTTCTGAAGAAAGCTGAGAAGAGCGTACAGGAAGTCCAGCAGGTCCCAAAGGTCCCGGGAAGCCCGGCGCGCCCGGATCTCCGCCCGAGCCCTGCGCCACAAAGGCCAAGTTGTCAGAAGGCAACGGCTTTTCTCACCTCGGAAAACACGCCGCCCGCCTCCCGTGAGACGGAGGAACGCGTTTTTGGACATGGCCGACCGTTTGCTTCCTTCACCGAAAAGCCCTTTGTGGCCATGCGCAAATGGGCAAGGAGTGAATCACTGTGGCGGGTTTTCAAAACAAAAAACCTTTAGGCAAGTTCAATGACATATGATGAAAGGTACTGAACAAATCAATCAATTGATAATGCAGTAGGATTTTTGTTTTTCAAAAGACTTCATCCAAACGTGCTGCTTTCTCTCCATCTGTGCGTCGCTCTCCTTAAACTCCAAAGACTTTCACCTTGTGAATTTGTCTCAACCCAGAAAGAGAGAAAATGTTTTGGGTTTTTTTTTTTTTTTGCCACATCACCTGGATTCCATCCCGTCCTCGCGGTCCTTGTGCGCCTTTGATGTCGGGAGATTCCGGAAAGACGGGCGAGACTCCCTGGAAGAAAGCAAAGAATTCCGTCCGACGGGTACGAGGAAGCGTCGGCAAGTCGCGAGTCCGAGCGCAACCTCAAACCTTTTCTCCTCGCGGTCCCGGGCGACCCTGAAAACACATCGCTGCCGTCAGCTCGGCTAATTAGCCGCGTTAGTTAGCGAAAAAAGAAACGCACCCGCTGCCCGACCGGTCCCGGGAGTCCGGGGGAGCCGCGGAAGCCGTCGGGACCCTGCGAGGACAAACGACGGCGTCACAATGTTTCTGGGGAATTGCCGGGAGAAGTTTTGCTGGAGAATTTGGGGAACGCGCCACATTGGAAGCCTTCGGTGACAACTCAAGGAGGAAGAAGAAGAAGAGGAAGAGGAAGACTTCATTGATGGCACAGCGAGGAAAGGGATGAGGAGTCAAGAGGAAGCGGCGTGTCACGTGGAAGCGCAAATATCAACAGGAAGTTTTGCCAGCATTCATCGTTAGCTAAAGAAGCGGCGATGGATCGCCCACGCGGCTACCTCGGTGCCGTTGCATCCCGGGAGTCCCGGTCGGCCCGCCGAGCCTTCGCCGCCTGGAAGTCCCTGAAAAACGACCGGAAGACAAAAGCGCACGTGGCGTGCGTCTCGTCAGCTTTCGGTTTTCACCTTTCGGCTTTCACGAGGCGGTCGGGCGCTCCACTCACCGGAAAGCCGGGAGGGCCCGGAAAACCCGAAGGGCCTGGAACACCCTGAACACACGCGTGCGGTCATCACAAGAGGCACACGATGCGGATGTGTGTGTGTGTGAGATGGTGAGCGGGTGCCATGTTGTGTTTGAGTTGGAGTCATGTGAACACGAGAGAAGTGTGCCGCCCTCTAGTGGACACACTGGAAACCTCCTCCTCCTCCTGATGGCGCTTCCTACCCGAGAGCCTTTGAGTCCCACGCGTCCCGCAAAGCCTCGCTGCCCCTGCGAGCGCCATGAGCACAACATCCCTCATGACCATTTTCATCGGCGGGATTAGGATCGCGGGGATGATCGAGTTTGATTGATTCATTGAATGATTGACATTCAACACACGCACACGCACGCACACGTTCTGACCTGGAGTCCGTCCGGTCCCTGGCCGCCCTCGTTGCCGGGGTAACCGACGAGTCCAGGCAGGCCGTCGTATCCCGGGTAACCGGGCTCCCCCTGAGCGCGGGCAGATGATGACGCAACATCAGGCGGAGGATGCGTACGTGCGACAATGCCGAACGCCTCTTCCGGTGGACTCGTGAAATGACAAAATAGTCGGGGGCGACGCTTTCAAACGGACAGTCACAATTCTGTCCCTGCGACTCGAGAGCGGACGGATGGCTAAAAATCAAGCAATCAATGACAAAGCGGCCACCTTTGACATACGGCGCCTTTGAATTGAGGCGCTCACCTTCTGACCTTTGATCCCGTGGTAATGACACGGCCGCTTCCCGCCGCACTCGTACGCCTGCACAAAGGACAAACGGCAACACGTCAGCAAGACATCCGCCGGACTCGCGTCGTCTGGATCGTGGTGTTTTTTTGTCCTTTCTTTTTTATCTTTGGGAGACATTTCCAAGTCGAGTGGAAACCAAACAACGTCTTTGCATGCGTGCGTTGTTCTTTCACGGCGCGGCCAACGCGGTCTTATCTGGGTCGCGGTCTTATCTGGGTCCCGGGCTGGCGTGTCGCCGTCCCGTCTGAACTTGTGCCCGCTGCCGCCATCTTGTCGTCACGTCGTCACGCTAACGCGTCGGGGCACGTTTGTCTCGGTCTTTCATGTCTTTTCAGCCGCGCCGCCGCTGCCGCCGCGTGCGCGATTGCGTGTGACAGCACAGGAAAGGCACGAAGGCAACAGTCAAAGGTCAACAGGGCGTTTGTCCGGGATCCACAGCAGGGAGGGACTGGGAGCCCGAGAGTCGGAGCCGGAGCGCGCCAATTACCGGCCGATCCACAAATGTGCGCCGACGGCGCGTTGGGCTCTCGTCTGTCCTTGTTTCAAAGCCTCTCGGCTGCGCGCGACCCGTGTCGACGATCGCCGCTTCCTGCTCCTTTGTCTTCCTTCTCCCTCCAGAAAAGCGGCGCATCCCGTTGAAGAGCAGGCCCTCGTCCTCACCGCGACCGCGACAACGGCAAGGCGCCGCCCGTCGGCGTCTCGGCCGGCGGCGGCCCGCGCGCGCTCCGGCAAGCCGCGTCTGCTTTGCACACTTGCCGGCTGCTCCCCACCGGCCATCGGGCTTGGTTCTTGACGACGCTCTCGCTTGCTAGATGAGCGAGTTGCGGGGAAGTGACACTGAGGCGATCTCAGCCAAAAAGCAGTGGAGGGGCAGCGGGGGCTTCCGATCCAAGGCGCTCGGGGCTCGTGACAACTGCCGCTTTGTTGGTCGCACAACAACAAAGGGCCCGGCCGAGACGCACGTTGCGACCTGCAGACTTCAGTTTTTGTTGTGTCTGGCACCCAAGTGGCTGGCGGGCCGAAAGCTGGTGTCACGTTGCGTGGTGGTGGTGGTGGTGGTGGACCCCAAAGAGCAGGCAAGAGGGAGGGGCAGGGTGGATTTGAAGAAGTGTATTGATAAAACACAGAAAATTAAATCCTAAACAAAGTCCAAAGTATCAAACAAAAACCATGACTGAAGCTCAAAACTATCAATAACAAAAACATGACCGAAACATGACAAACAAACACACACGACAGCAGCAAAGAGCAACAATGACCCGACCATGAGTCGTCGTCGGGCTGGGAGTCCTTTGAAAGCACTAATGACCTAATGACCAACAGGTGTGCAGCTGCAGGGGAAGCCCTACAGTGCCACCTGGTGGTCCCAAAGAGAATCAAGACAGCCGGGCCTGCGCTTGTCGAACGGCGGTTTGGGATCGGGTTGCGTGTGTGCCGGGAAGGAGATCAGAATTGGGCCTACGAAAGACCAACACAAATGAATGGCTGGGCCACGCCGACCCGCAACGGAGCAGCCGCATTTCCCGGTAGCCCCTGTGCGGCGCCACCCGTGACAGCGCACAGGGGCGTTCACGGCAAGCAAACCCACCATGAGCGCGGTGAGTGATGCCCCCCCCCCCCCACTCATATTTCAGAGACCGTCAACGCGTGAATCCGAGCGCAGCGACGAGACCGTTGGAAAGCGGTCAAAATGATGTGAATGATGTGAACGCCACTGCGACGAGCTCACCGACGAGCCGAGCGCGGAGGGCCGCGACCAACGTCCTTCGTCTGAATCTTTTTGAAAGGGATCCCATTCAAGCAAAAGGCGTACGCGATGGCGTTGCTGCATCCGAATGAATGCGACGCATCGCTCAGAAAGCAGATTGGAGCACAAGTCACGAGCTTCTCTTTCATCAAATTCAAAGACGGCATTCATTTCAAATGTACAAAAAGAGGAAGCTCGACCTGCCCGGCGGGGCGCTCGGTGCTCCCAAAGCCCTTGAGAAAGCTCCACGCGGAAAAGAGGAGACGCGCAGAGGGAACGACGGACACGTGATGGATGAACAGAAGGGGAGCGGAAAGTTGAAAAGTGGCGTGGGAAGGAAGGAACGAGCTTTTCCTGTCAAACAACGACAATTGGCTTGAAAAAAGGGAGTTGAAAAGTGAGGCGCCGAGCGCCGGCTCACCGTGCCGGCTTCTGCCTGAGCTCCGCGGAGGAGCATCATCATCATCATCATCGGCAGCAGCAGCGGCAGCAGCGGCAGCGGGAGGGCGCGTCCCCGCGAGGCCAACGCAACAAGCATGACAGCGGCGGCCCGGTTCGGTTGGATCCTCTCCTCGGCCCGGCTCAGTCCGGCTTGTGATGATGGGTCGCAACGACAAGCTGCTGACGGTGGGACTCTGACCCCCCCCCCACACACACACACACACACACACACACGCCTTCCAGGCCCCCACCCCCGGGCCCCCACATTCACACTCGCACTTGTGCCTTCACACTTTCACATTAAAAGCTTTAAGCTCAATCCCGTTTGATTGTTTTTGCTGTTGTTGTCGTCGTTGTTTTGCTTTCTTCGAATAACCGATTTGAAGCGCGCCGCGGTTACTTAGGGGCGGTCAAGCGAAGCCCGGCGCGACCTTTTCAAACGCAACAGCGCGAGCCATCGTCGCAGTCTTATTTTGAAAGGTCGGCGCGTGCCTTTACACGCGCGCTCCCGCGTGAGTCGCTGGAGCCGAGTCGCTCGAGCTTCTTTGGGACTTTGGGACGGCGACATGAAGACAAACGAGTGACGGGCGGCGGCAGCAGCAGCAGCGCGCCAAGGTAAGGCCGCCGGATGACAGCTGTCAATCATGCTCGTGGCGCCCTGACGTCACGCCGCCACGTCAGGGGCCGGCTTTGCGCTTGCTCGGCAAAGGTGATTTACCCTCAAGGGATACGTCACAGTCGGATGGCGGCTTGAATGGTGGATGGCGGATCGCTCGCTCGCGTGATTGATTGATTGATTGATTGACTGTTGTTGGTTGGTGAGTCTCATGTGTCAGTAGGAGTTGAGCGCAGGTATCCAACACTCTCTTTTGGGCCACGATTTAGGGACATGAAACACCGATTCGAGATAGCAATGGCCGAATTGTTTGGCTTCAAGCTTTCCAAATCCTCGGAGTTGACCGGAACGCCACTCAACCGCTCTTGATATGGCGCTTTCCCAACGGCAAACCTTCTCCAAAGTCCTTCGTGAGAGCAGCCAGATGAGCGTTGGTGTCGAGCGCACCCGAGACATTTGCAAACATCCGCTTTGAGTCTGGCAGACAAGGTCCCGGGCCGGCGGGCGACCCGCCCTCCGAAGCGAGCCCCGGCCGCCCGGGGCCGACGGGCTCCTTGCTGGGACGCAGCCGGTCAGCAGCCGGCGTCCGGCGGGTTCCCCCGGCCC